TTTTGTACTTTGCCCAATAGAGGTTCCTTTTTGTTTTTCGTGTATCTGTTCTCCTGATTGGAGTTTGCTTTGCACCAATTAAATTCTTTTAATGTGTTTTACTTTTAACCAGAATTAGAGATAGCAGTGCTGAAATTAATATTTTTTGAAATTTGGCACGTAAGGGGGGGGCTCGTTTTGTACTTTGCCCAATTGAGGACCCTTTTTGTTTTTCGTCTAACTCGGAAACTATTCGTCTGATTGGAGTTTCTTCGCACGAAGTAATTTCTTTTAATGTGTTTTACGTGTATACAGAATTAGAGATAGCAGTGCTGAAATTAATATTTTTCGAAATTTGGCACGTAAAGGGGGTCGTTTAGTATCTAGCACTATTTAGGTTTTTTTTTTCTCGTCTATCTCGGAAACTATTCGTTTGATTGGAGTATTCTTTGCACGAATTAATTACTTTAAATGTGTTTTACTTGTATACTGAAATACAGATAGCAGCGCTGAAATTAATATATTTCCCAATTTTGGCACGTACCTATTTTAAGTAAAGTTTTATACATTTACACATAATTTTAGTATCTTGCTTGGAAGGAAATATAGTAGGTAGAACACTTTACGAGCGTGTGAATGATGCCTACCATACTTCAATCAGACAAACAGTTTTCGAGATAGACGAGAAGCAAACGGATACTCCGTTGATCGGTTACAAAATGCCCTCCCCTTACGTGACAAAATTGGAAAAATATTAATTCCGGTGCAACATTTAAAATTCTTGGTATAGCAAGATTACATAGTGAGATATTCAATGGTGCCAACAGTCTCTAATCAGACAAATAGTTTCCGAGATAGACGAGAATTGATGCGGATCCTTGACTGATCGAGTACAAAAACCCCCTAATTAAAAACTTGTGTCATCTAAAGATCGACGAAACTTTTCATTTTTTAACAAGAAAAATAAACCCGCATATCTCACAAACTATGCAACGTCATTCAATTCTACAAACACTGATGGGTTTCAAAATTCATGTAGTTTTAGAAAATGTCATCATTTGTCATACACGGATGAGAAAAGTGCCCTCTAGGAACATTGAATCGAAAGTGTTGTATTTTCGTGGTGTGAATAAAGTGTTAAAAATTATGATACTGCTATGATAACCGTACACATTACAAATGTATTTGTATTGTGGTACTTACGTACATGTTAGGTATGATTAAATTATCATTTTTACACTATTAGACGTGGCTTATCACCAAGTGCATATATGTAAATAGATTACATTTCTGTTACAAGTAAATTGTGATGAATGCGGTTTGATTCTCTAATTCAATTGATAGAAATGTGTGAATAACTTTATTCCCTGGGATTGAATAGTAGAGGTATCGGCTGAAGTTTAGTACATGGAACATCTTACGGAAGTCCTTTCAAACCGGCACTTCGCGCCACTCCAGCGGAGCTCGAGCCTCGCCGTGACGTGGTTCGGGCGAGCGGAGCGAGAAAACTTCGAAAATGAATTGGCCTTACAATGCGGCGGGCGAAGCGTATGAAGGGTGATTAATGAAAATATCCTCTCCGTAAGTTTAATCATTTCTATCATAGCACGTAGCATAATTTGAGGGATAGCTTAAGGAGACCCATACCCCACCCCCTCCCGCTTCCACGCTTCTCTGTGGGTGTACCGTGTATCCTACTTTAACCGATGTATCAAGTTTTTGGAATTTTTCACAATCTACTTTTAATGTGATTATTTGGTGTATTAGTTGTTTTACAGAAATGACAAAAAATGTTTTCAAAGACAAAGTACATCTGATCCATTGTGCAAGTCATTAATGTGGCTATAAAATAATGTATGCCAATTGTATCACATAAAAAAGAAGTATTTTGTGTTGTCACTTGAAAAGTTGTAGATAATAATAATAGCAATAACATTGATACACGTGAACGTCAAGAGAGTCAATGTTGTTTCAATAATGGAATGTGTGTGCTAGTCATAGTAATGTAATGATGTAATGACTGCAATACCAGATTATTCTTCTGATGCTGTGTTGTATTGCTCTATAATATTATGTAAAATTGTTTTCAGAATATATTTTATGAATACTATAAACAAACATGTTTGTTTTTTATAATTGCCAACCGATTCTTCCCAAGCCCACTTATTTTGTTATTTTTAAATTGTCGTAAAAGTAGCTGAATACGTGATATTTCGGATGATAATATCTACTTTGGATGTCCATATAGTAGATTGAATACGTTGAGCTTGTTGACTCAACGCTTAAGAAGTACGTATTCTGACCACAGTGTGCAGTGTTGTCGATTTAACGCCTGAATCTTATTGTAGATGGTGCCACAGGAATTTTCCTTCTTATTCCATATTCCTCCATGTATTCCATTGTGAAGTTAGTCCCAGGGTAGGGAAACTTGGCGGTCAAAACGGGGTAATGATTTTTGCGCCATCTACAACAGGTCCGAC